GAAGCAGGAAGCTTCCATCCCGGGGGGGGTTCGAATCCCCCCGACCCGAAGGGTGAAGGGTGAGGCAGGCCCGAGTTTTGAAGTTCAGACCCCCATTGAGGAAGTGAGAACTGCTCGACCCCCCCCTGATCCTGCGGAACAAGCTCCTCTTGCTAGCTCGATGGGTCACCCCCCCCCCCCCCCCGAGGAGAGGGGGGACGACATTGTTTCGGCAGGGTGCCCCTGGATCCTATCCCGTGTTTGTTAATGCCCCCCCCCCCCCCCCCCAATGAACACTCCAGTGAGGGAGGGCGAGACGATCGAGGGGTCCCGTACCACGCGGAATCGACCCTATCCAGTGCTCAAGTGCTCAAGGTGTCGAGGCCAGGGCTCAGTCGAGGCCTTGGTGGGTCACACAGCAGGTCGTTGGGGTTTCGGTAGGTCATCATGGAGCGTACCACCTTCGCCCGCACCGCCAACGGCGCCGTCTTTGCCGCTGGGGCAAAGCCAAAGGTGCCGACAGCTGCTTGAGCCACGGAGAGGACCTGTCGAACCAGCCTAGGAACCATCTGCTGCCCTACAGTGATGGCCATTTACTGGTAAAAGAGTGGTATTTACCACTTATTTGATTCTCCTGGGGAGTGGTATGGTATGAGCAGAGAATGGTATGGTAAATTACGAAACTCCGTGGAATCATCTTTTTTTGGGATCTGAGCCGAGTCTGAGGCTGGTTTGCGGCCAAATTCAGCCAAGCGGTGCTGTTGAGTACGTGTCCTCTCGAGCGCTAGTCGAAATGCACAACTCCGTATTGAATGCACAACTCCGTATTCAGCATCTGCGGTCACTCACTGCTCCAGGCTCCCGGTGAAGCCGCCGTCCTCGGGCGCCATGTGCGAGAAGTGGTGCCACATCGAGCAGCAGGCGTCCGAAGGCTCGCGCACCACATAGACAAGGCGCGCGGCGGGCGAGGCCGGCAGCATCGCATGCAGCACGTGGCCCTGAGCGCGTCGGCGAGCGACCGGTTGAAGGCGGCGGCGAAGCACGGGCTGAGGTTGAGGAGCAGGCTGTTGACCGAGTCGTATGCGCTGTCGCCCGAACGCACGCCACGGTGGCTGAGGGAGACGTCGATGGTGGTGCCCTCCAGCAGCGTGATGGTGGTGCCCCTGCGCCATCGCGGGACGCCGGCGTCACCGCCTGCACCCCGAACCGGATCTCGTCGAGCTGCGCGTCGAGCTCGTCTGCGAAGGCCGACATATACGTATTGTCGCCGTCGCCGTCGCTCTCGCCGCCGCAGCAGCAGCACGTCTGGGTTTCACGCACACGCACCCCTGTTGAATTCTTTTCCCTAGAGTAGTGTGCGTGTGTTTCATCGACACTAGAGTAGTGCCCCATCCCTCGTCTGGGTTTGTCTGTTTTCTTTCTTTCTTTCTTTCAGAGTAGTGCGACCGCGCTAGACGGCGGCCGCCGGCAGGCCGACGGAGAGCCCCAGCCTCCAGCTGCCCGCACTCGCACACTCGGCCACGCTCGCCCTAAAGCGCTCTTGCTGGGGGGGGGGGGGGCACCAGAGCTCTGCGCGGCCGCTTACACACCGTTGAACGCACCAAGTGTGGCCGTGAAGTGGTTGTGCAGCGCCTGGACCCGCGTCTTGACGTCGCCCTGCTGCGGCGCGCCAAACTCCTGCATCTCGAGGGCCGAAATGCGCGGGATCAGGCCGCCCTGCTGCGCCATCCCGTTGTAGGTGACCTCGAGCTGCTGGAGCATGGCCACCGGCAGTGCCGGCGCCGAAGGTGCGGCTAGTGCCTGCTGCTGCAACTGTGGCTGCGGAGGCTGCGGAGGCTGCGGAGGCTGCGGAGGCTGCGGAGGCTGCGCCGCCGGGGCAGGCTGCTGCTGCCGCTGCTGTTGCCGCTGCTGCCGCTGCTGTTGCCGCTGCTGCCGCTGCTGCTGCCGCTGCTGCCGCTGCTGCCGCTGGAAGTTCGCGGCGGGGGCGGCGGCGGCGGCGGCGGCGGAGGAGGAGGAGGCGGCGGCGGTGGCCCGCGGCCGCTTGCGCTGCGCTTTGCCCCCTACCCGCTGCGAAAGCGATTGCGAATCCTCCGCGTCCGCAACCCTGACGACGAAGCGCGGCGCGACTTTCTTCTCGTGCTCGTTATCGTCGCAGTATTTGACGTCGCAGGTGCCGTCGGCATGCACAAAAGTCACCTTCCCAGGGAACCCTGCGGAGAGGGCGGAAAATAGGTGGGGAGTGGGAAGGATGTGGGATATGGACGAGGTGCAGTCACGGACAGTTGACGCCACCGATGCCGCCCTGGAATTTTGATAGCACGCGCTGCCCTTGCACGATGTTGTCGCTCGGCTGAACTTTGATGACGAAGCGAGTCTCAACGTGCTTTTCGGTTTGCACGTCCCGTCCCGTCCTCTCGTCGTGCCATCCCGTGTCGTACCGAATGTCATAGTCTTCGGCGTGCACCTTGATCACCGTCGCAGGGTGCCAACTACTTCCGCCCTTCCACTTCCCAAACACCCTTTGTCCGGTCTTGAGCGAAGGAGGCACGCTGGCTGTCGCTTGGATTCGGGCAAATGGCATGAGAACCAGGGCTATCAGCAAAAGAGAAAAAAAGTCGGGCGACACTGGGCACGGGACTGGCGCGCACTGGCACTAACACAGGTAAACAGCCTGGTGGGTGGGGCCTCTACTCTCGCCAGGGTGCCGTCGACCTTCACCGCACGCTCGCCCAATGAATTGTCATATCACCCGTGAGTGAGTGCGAGATAGGGCTGGCAGTAGGCAGCTAGCCTGTGAGGAGGGCGTCCATAGGAAAGGGGAAACACACGGTGGGTAAAAAAAGAAAGAAAACAGACAACCCCATGTGCATGCACATGTGCACGTGCTTGCAAGGATCCTTGCAACCCGAGGTGGAAAAGACGAGCACTTGTTGTGTGTTGTGTTGAACCGTGGAAGGGGAGAGCGGGGGCGGGGGCGGGGGCGCGCGGCGCACGCGCGACTGAGGGCAGGGGTGGGGATTCCCGCCGTGCACACGCTGCGCGCGCACACGCACCACATGCACCACATACCCTCATGCGGCGAGCAGGCGAGCGATCTGTGCGCGGTGAGGCGGCCGGCGAGGGGGCGGCGGGTGACGGGGCAAGGGAGCAGCCCACACCCGACGCGTCGCTTTGAGCGAGGTCGAAGAAAGGGCCTGCGCAGGGGCCGCAGGGCGCTCAGTGGTGAGGCGAGGCGGAACTGGCCGCGGGCAAGGCGTTGTGAATGCTACGTGTGTAAGGCCGGTACGGAGGGGAGCTCACCCAGTCCGGCGCCGTAGCCTTGGGGGTCTCTGGCATAGCGAAGAGCTGCACAGTGACCCCTCACTGGAACGGAGCTTCCGGAGTTCTCTGATGAGACCGGCGGGCGGGGACACGAATGGGGGAGCTGGTCGTTTCCGCAGGCGAAAGCACAAGACGAATTTTTAAATTACGAAACTCCGTGGAATCATCATTTTTTCGGGATCTGAGCCGAGTCTGAGGCTGGTTTGCGGCCAAATTCAGCCAAATTGGCAAAATACCGGGTATTTTGCGGATATACCTGGGGAAAACCCGGGTATACCTGGAAATACCGGGTATTTTGCCGATAGTAAAACAGAGTGGGGCCGAGCGGAGCCGAGATCAGCCGAGCGGAGCCCTCGAGGCGGAGCTCACACACGAACCCACACGTGGTCTCGTCCGTGCCTTACGGCCGGCGATATTGCTAGAGGCGGAGCAGTCTGCTCTAGCCTCAGACGTGGTGTTCCCCTCGTTCGGCCGAGCCCCCAGACAAGCACCCGACAGCACTAGACAGCACTGACAAGCATCTCTGGTATGACAGCTGGTATGACGATAGTTAGTGTCTGATATAAAAGAGAACGTTTTTCAAGTTGCTTAAAAAGAATTTTACAACGAAAAGAAATTCCCGAACAGGCGCCTTGCCTTTCTCCGACGTCTCCTTGGATCGAGTCACGCCCATTATGTTTTTCGCTGTGCTCTCCTCCATCCTCCTCGGCGCGTCGGTGCCACTCAATCACACCACGCCCGATAACACCGCGCCCGTGCCAGCTGTCCCGTCCGAGAACGACTTCGCGTCCGAGAACACTAGCGTGGCAGCCGAGTACTTTGCGCTCGTAGACGCGGACGGCGATGGCATTCTGACGGCAAACGAGAACCGCCGCCTGCCTTGGCAAGAGGACGAGGCTCCCGGAGTCGGCGAACTCCATGGGTTCCCTTCCTGGTACGATAGCAACGACGGCAAAGTCACGCTGGCTGAGGACGACGGCCAAGGCACGCTGGCAGTGGACGGTGCTGCCGAGCTTGAGGAGGAGGTGGACGAGGAGGTGGAGGCTTCCGCCACTGAGAGCCAGCTCTTTGTCGCTTCGACCCAGGGCGACTATGCCGACATTCCTTCGTTTAGCGAGGAACAAGGCTGGTCGGACCCGAGCAACTATGGCGTCATCACCGGTGTGCGGTGCAGTGGCAAGTACTGCGACTCTATGCAACTGAAAGCATCACAAATTGAGTCGACCAACTATTCTTCGGCACTTACCACATATACCGAGTGGTTCTCGGAGGAAAATAGCGGGTCCGGCAAGTGCGCACCGGACTACGTCGTGACGGCAGTGAAGTGCAAAGGCCGTTACTGCGACAGCCTCCGTTTGCGTTGCAATAAGCTCAAATCAGGAGGCCGGTGGACCTCCGAAGAATACGAAACCTCAAAATTCAGCTCCTCGAGGCGGCAAAGTGGGATTGGGGAATGCTACAAACCGTCGACTTCGGTGATCGGGATCAAATGCTTCGGCGATTATTGCGGTCAGAAGAACTGGCTCGGACTGGACACCAACGCGGTATGGGTGGACGCTGGACCGAGCGACAAAAAAGAAAAGCCGCGCTGTCATGTTGCTCGCTCTTCTCGCGACCCCTCAAACGCTGCTTTCGCCGCCACTGGACTGGGTCCGTGAGCTCACAATGATTCAGGCGGAGTCCGGCATTGGCCATGATGCGCTTCACGCGCCTGTCGACGTGGAAGCTGCTTATCTGCGGATGCTTGCTGGCCTTCTAACGAGCTCTTCGCTCATGTGTGAAGCCGCAGTGACGCAGGCTAAATATCTCACGTGCATGAAGATGTACATTCAGGGCGGCCCATGGCCCAAGCTCGGCACGACGATGGCCGGCCATAAACGTTTGCAGAACGTTGCCACGCTCCTCCTCAACGCGCGCAGTGCCAGCGTCGCTGGAAGCTACGTCGAGTGCGGCGTGTGGCGCGGCGGAATGTCCATCTTTGCCAAGGCGGTGATCGAGGTTTATCAGATGCAGCGGCGCGTGTACCTGTGCGACTCGTTCCAGGGGCTGCCTCCACCTCGTTCAGGCAGCCTGCGACCGGATGAGACCATTTACGCGTCGAAGAAATTCAACGCCTCGCTCGCCAAGGGCGAGGACACTGTGACGCGCAATTTCTACCGGTTTGGAGTGTCTATGGAGGGGGTGCGAA